GCAGAGTTTAAAAACAAAACAATGGTTTGGGCTTTTTTGGAGGTCCATGGAATGTCATCATCTTGATTACAAACATTAATTCAGTGGGAAGGAAGAAAAGGAGCAGAAGAAATGTGGTTACTCTGAAAAACAACTGTTAATGAATACCTAGCAGAAAGAGAGAAAGAAATAAAGGATTAGAAGGAGGGAGACTGATTAAAAGAGAGATACGAGGGAGCCAAGTGAATAAGTTACTCAGTATAAATAACAGTGTCAGTCAGAAACACTGTATTCATTAAATCCACGTCCCATGCTGCCTTGGTTTTTAAATCACACATAGATTTGATTGGTATTCAGCTGTGTGTGCTCTGTTCCCCTCTGAAACCCATTGTACCCTAAACACACACTGCAGTGACTTATTTACAAAATCAATAGTTTTTAATTCAAGAGTTTGCTCTCTTTCGAACTTTCAGCATCCAAAGGAACTTTGTTGTTGTTCTTAATTTGATTGGATCAAAGCGATAAATCAAGTTGGGGAAAAGAAGGGGCTGAGTTATTATTTGTTTAATCAGCATGTGAAGTTTGGACAGGAGGTGTTCAGGAGATGTAAACCAACTGAACAGATTGTACAGGAGACCTGCTTATCGGAAGTTGACAGTTGTTATTATGTGCACAGTGCACTATTCCTGTTGAGGATTTAGAAGACAGAGGGGAGAAAAAAAACACATATCTGTCAGGTTAACAAACTTCAAACTGCAGACTTTGGTGAAATTCTAGCCAGTATGAAACAAATTCTAGCCAGTATGAAATAATATTTAAAATTGGCTTGTGTGTAAACATAATGACACATAGAAGGACAGCTGTTGGTTTAGTGTTGAACTGGTCAAACATGGGTAGAAGTTAAATACAGCAGGAATAACAAATGAATCAAATGATCAGTTGATCAACGAAAATGTAACATGAAAATACACTACACGAAACATTCAAATAACAGACATAATATACATATTTTATAACCAAACCAATATAGTCAAAATGAAGGAGTGCAAAATGTATATTTGTTGAGTGAGACAATCAGCCATCACAGTGCGGGCAGAAAACATCATATTAATGCACAGAATTTAACTTGATGGTGAATCAGTTGTGCAATTATACACTTGTGACCTTACATTTTTAAATAGGTTTTTTTAAAATAATTAATTGTCACAATAATAATTGGTGAAATTCAATCCATTCTCTGTCTCTATATTTAACAAAGAGTTTGCCTCTTTACTCTTGTTTATGTCATCAAATTAAATGTTGTTGATGTTGGACTGTAGGTAGCAAACGCTCTAAGATTATATTTATATTATTTTATTTTTAATAAATAAATAAATCAATCAATCCTTATTTGTATATCACCAATTCATACCAAGACATCTTGAGATGCTTTCCAAAAGAGCAGATGGGATAATATGCAGGAAGGATTTCTTTTCTCATTTGTATTCCTCGCCTTCCTGTTGTCCAGACTTCTTTGCCAGTGAGGTGGAGGTCGGCGCAGGCGGCGCATGAATGAGGACGACGGTGGTTGAGGGACGACACAGTCCGATGGTGGTGGCTGGGCGTTAATTAAGCAATTCAGGAAGTAATCATCAGATTCAGAGACAAATGAAATGATAATTTTATCCCTAAAGTTGACCATTACTAAATGCCCGTTTTCACAGACTTCAATCATTTCAAGTTCAATAATTTTCATTAAATGACCAGCCTTGGTGAATAAATAAAAGTGTGCAGCCCTCCTTGTCTTGAGGATGAAAGCGTGAATATAATGAAGCTAACCTCAGGTTAAATGAAAAATGAATCACTTCATCTGAAAAGTGCCAGGAGCCAATAACGTGTGCATGTCTGTGTGTTATAGTGTGTGCGTGCATGTGGGCTTATTTTAGTGAGTGTGAGAGAGAGATAGTCTGATGCTCCCTTTTTCATATTCATGACTGACCATGTACCTAATCAGTCGCTCATTTTCTCATTCAGTTCTTCCTATGTTGGACTCTCAGTAGCAGAAGGATTGCAGTTTGGGGACGTTAGCAGTGCTGGGAATTCTCAAGGTCACTTTGTAGGTTATATTTCTTTAAAATGAACAGCCAAAGAAAATGTCATAAATATAGCTCATGCCGGGAGTCATCTCTGACATATTAGAAGCTCAGCTCTTGGCACAGAATGCTCTTTTAAATGACAAATGCAAACATCTTCATTTGCATTTACTGTATGTCTAAGAATATTTGTATGTTAACATACTACATGCATAAAAATGTGCAGTGTAGCTCATTGAAAACCTTTTCAATAAGGTGCACAATACTGACTTCATATATATGCAGAGCAAGTTTAAAGAATGCACTTTAAGTTTAAATAAAGCCGCATATCTTTACTTTACAACTAGTTTTGATGATGCAGATAATGATGAGAAGAAAATGATAAGTTTGCTCATGTCCAACAGCAATTGAGACAACAATGTCCTTACAAGGTCAGTGTTAGAGCTTAGCTTAGCATTGATATCTTTTTTTCAACTCTACATTTAAAGATGCTCCAAAGTGCTCCAACAGGATTAGCTCTCTCCATGCCAACTCTTTGTAATTGAATGTTAAAGGGTAAGATGACTACCTGAACACACAGTTTTGTGACTCAAGAGGGTACTTAGCTTTTCTTTCTTATTAGCCGTATGTACCTTAGCCGTACCTGGATGACCCACATGTATCTCCTGGTGGATGAGCACAGGCTTTCATGTCTTATTAACAAAGATGTGAGTTAAGGCAAAGTATTCCATTCATGACAGCCCCCCCCTCCCCCCCGCCTCCTTTTTTTTTGTCCTTGGATATATTTGTGTATATTCACCCACTCATTGAATTAAAAAGCCGGAGCTAGCCTCTATAACTGGCTGTTCATTAGACTGCATCGCAACACATAGAAAGACAAAATGGAGCCTGATCTTAATCAGAACTGAAGGAAACGATTACCATGAAACAGCTCCTTGCAGTGATTGAGATGTAAACACATGATGCATATATTTCGCCTGCTTATATTTTGGATGTTTTTGGTGAAACAGATGCTGCAGAGGAATCTCTATTATAATGCTTGGAGGTTCTTTTCCATTGTTATAATTTGATCAGGGGTCCACCGTTTCCCAGCAGCTGTGACCTTACATATGCATCCAGAATATAGAGCCTCCTTTTGATCATCTCGGTGTGTGTGTGTGTGTGTGTGTGTGTGTGTGTGTGTGTGTGTACGTCAGTTTCTGCAGCGTGCATATGCCAACCGCTGCCCTTCAACCCTCACACTCCTCCCCCATACACACACACACACACACACACACACACACACACACACACACACGGTAATTCTCACATGACACTGTATATGAAATGGTTTGTTCATCTTGGTAATATGCTGCATCTAATGATGCATATGAAAAGCAATCAGTGAGGCAGCAGAGGATCTGCTTGAGGAGCAGAGTTAATAACTTGGGGAAGCGGGAGATCGCAATGCCCCCTCTGGCTCCACAGACACACAGATACTACACATATTGCTCACAGGAAATACACAATTACAACTCCTGTAAAATGAAATGAAATATCCATGTCAGATTTGGTGGTTAGTTGTTTGGATGCCCGGACACAGTCTGTTATACATCTGGATCTGTTTCTTTGTCATCCATGTGTCCTTAATGCAAGTATTGTCAGGTTGACACACAAATGCTGGCTTATTGTTTCTTGTTTCTGTTTTTTACACATCATACGCTGAACATGGCATCTACTCTGTAGGATCAGTGAGAGCAGTGTATAGCACCTTAAATAATTTATCAACCATCCTTCCCACTTTCACACCCCTCCTGTCACTTGATCTCTGCTTCCCGGCCTTCGTTCACGTCTTACTACAGGTAAGGTGTGACCGCGTAAACATGTTTTAATGTGTTACTTAAGCTCCCCTCCTCGTGTGCTTTATTTTTATATACATAATTGACACAAGTGGAATATGTACTAATGATAAAAGGTTTATGATCTAAACACAAAACATTACATAATTTATTGTAGCCTCTGCCTGTGGTGCTTTGCTCAGTCAGCACAAATTGTACGGAGGAAAAGCCCATGTACATAATTTATGTGAAGAGTACAGGCTCCGGATAGCAGAGCTGCTTTGCTGCTTAAAACCCTGATTAACAGCTGATATTATCTAGTCTCTCTTTTCCCTTTAAATGTTAAACTCTTACTACACGCTGTAATCTGCAAAATATGGGTGAATTCCCATATTTGATACACAATCAGTTGTATGCAACTAATGCCTCTGATTTTATTTTATTTTTAAACAAGCTTGGGTCCGGTATTTCACTCTATTACCCTCGTGGTTCATAGTCTTAACAAACCTCAGAGGTGTTAAGATAAGTGAGTCTCTCCTGCTTTTCCCTCCCTTAGTTTAAACTTTCATTTTTGGACCAAAGCCCCAGCAGCTCTCTAGTATAAATGAGGAGGATATTCATTAATGTCCGTATGTGTGCTCTGACTGTGAGATCTCCAGCTTGGGATCTTGAATTGGGCAACTCTTAATGCCAATTTCTTTTCATTATCCTCCTCATCATAGCTCCACATAGCTTCTGTATTGAAGGATGTAAGGGACATGCATGCCGTGCTCTCCTCAGCTGTGTATGGACTGATGTAAGCAAACAAGGCATGACAGGTCCTCCCAAATTGAAATGTCAGCCATCACGTTAATTCCACTGAGAGGGGAGGGGGGGGGGGGGAAGAGATACCGGGGAAGTGTTTTACCGAAGATTTGACCCCTTCCCCTTTTCTTCTTTTAATCGCCCCCCCTCCTTTTTAATTTGTAATTATCCACAGCATCTCTAATTATTCCGCATCGCCGTCCTTTGCCGTTCTACCTCTCGACCAGACGCTTACCACCGTCTCCCTCTCTCTCTCTCTCTCCCCCTCCCTTTTCCCTTCTCTCTCTCACTCTCTCTCTCTCTCTCTCTCTCTCTCCCTCGGTTTCAGCGAGATGAAGCAGGAGCTGGCGGAGGAAGGCAGCAGATGCTCCATCCTCTCCAAGCAGCACCGCTTCAACGAGCACTGCTGCATCCGCTGCTGCTCGCCCTTCACCTTCCTTCTCAACCCCAAGCGCCTGTGCCTGGACTGCCAGTACAACGTCTGCAAAACCTGCTGCACCTACAACAACCGGGACAAAGCGTGGCTCTGCTCCACATGCCAGAAGGGCAGGTTAGTGTTTGCATACTCACACACATTCACATGCACACTCCGGAGATTGAGACGGGGGGAGATTGGAGTAATGGAATGAATGGGGACGGGAACATATGTGGATTGGTAAAGGGGAGGACACTGAAGCAAGGGGGGAAATTGGAATAGAAAAAAATTGATTGGGCACATTTAAAGCAACATAGCAGTTTGAGAAAAGAGAAGTGGTAAAGCATGACAGATGTGAGGGAAAAGCTGAATGAATGAAAGGGAATGCATGACTTTTAAGAGAGGCAGTGCTGTGAGGGTGGATGCTGTTGGTTTATGATTTGCATTTGAAACTCTTAGAATAATTTCTGGTGGTAAATACCTGCTTTCATCTTTGTTTCCATTCCTTGTTAACATCCCTTATAGTTGTACAGCGAAGGGAGGAGAAGAATGGGACATTAAGGTGGATGATAATGAAAAAGCGTGAATATATAAGAGGGGAGGAAATTGAGGGAAATAATGTGTTTGTTGGTGTATAGACTGCTGGAACAAGGCAGCAGGATAGGGAAGCTGCACAATTATGCATGTAACCCCAAATTCTTGTTTGAAATCTTTTGTTTTCTAGCTCATTTTTTTGCCTCCTCCTTTAGTGTCCCCAATTTATATCCCTGCACACAAAGTGGAAGTCAGGGTTTTGTAGAGAAGAGGGAAAATATGGGGAGGAAGTACATTTGTTATTTATAGAGCAAGACAAAACAATCTGATGAGCAGAAGAGACTGGGGAACCCGCTACAGCTGGTTGGGCTTTGAATATTCATGTGAGGCTGTTTACACATGCATGTCTGTCAGAAAGCCATGGGAGTTGTTCCAGAGCCCGGACTCTCAATAGGATGAATATTGACTCTATCAGTCCGAGCATCAAGGGGTGGGAGCTGGAACCACTCTTGCACCGGAGTGTGTGAGTCAGTCACCGGGACAGATACATAGCAAAATCAATTGTGAGCTTGGAATGTTTAATCCACAAAAAAGCGTGATATGTACACAGATTTTTATGCTGTATGTATGTATGGCTTTAACCTTTGCGTTTAGTCTGTCATTTTTTCACCTGTGATTCTGATTTTGGTTATTATACCTTTTTAAAAAGTCAAAGATAATACTCCACAGGTCATTGAGTGCTATTAAGAAAGAACGTGATAAAACAAACAAAAGTGCAGGTGTGCTAGTGATGCACTTTGGACTTTTTTGTGTGCCTGTGTGTGTTAAGGCGGAGGTGCAAAGGATTGCAGAGCATGACAAGGCTGTCCAAAAATGAATTGCCCCTCCACTTAGCCTTATTTCTTTCCCTCCATCCTCCTGCTCTGTCTCTCTCTTTTTTTTTTTCCTCTTATTGATTTTTTGCTGTTGGTGTATTGAGTTAGACCCGCTGCCCTGCGTTTCTGTGTATGAGACAGGAGGGAGAATGAGAGACAGTGAGGAGGAGGAGGGAGAGGAGGAGGAGGAGGAGAAGGAAGGGGATGATGGCAGTCAAAGAAGGTGGCAAGGCTTGCATTGATCATCTCTTCCCTCACACTCTTTTCTCTCTGTGTGTGCCTGAGGCGCAGTCATGTTCTCATTAGGGGTTTAGACTGAGTCACAGATGGGCCTGATGTCACAACATTTCCGTCTACCAGAAACATATAAATACAGCACTTTTCATTAGCGCATTAAAAAGGCTCAAATCTGGTTTTAGCGTGAATTACTCTCTCTCTGGGTGGAGCCGTGTCATTTGGAAGAGTGATTTACAGCTCGCACGAGTGTTGAGCCAGAGGCTAGACAGGTCCTGGACAATATTTTGGAAATAGTTATTAGTCTGCTGTTGAAGGGGATGATTGCAAAAAAATGGCCATTTATTTTTTGATTAATAGACTGAAGCTGCTGGGAAATAGTATGGTGTGAAGAGGTGAGGAGAGGAATGTTTGAATTAAGTTCTGGCTAAATGTCAGTCATCCACATCAAATAATTAAGCCAAATTCTATTTACATTTCTACGTCACTTCCTATTGATTGAAATAAATACAACATGTTTCTTATTCATGTGAAAATACAAATATAAAAAAAAACTACAATATGAATTCATAAGTAATCAGCCTTTGGGTATTCCGTGTCCTCCAGAAAGTTATTTTTTTAAAGCATCTCTGAAGGATTTCTGATGAATCAAAATGCAAAAAAAAAATGCATTTGTGAAGAAAAACAGGCCACCAAATGGTCGCCGGCTGTCCATCAACATTCACAGTAGGGCGGCCACACTGCTCACAAGTGTGATCCGTCAAGGGAAAGCAGATTTGTAATCACCGCACACATGGACACACTCAGAGGCTAAAGTCACCCACTCGCATATGGATGCACATAACAGTGTAATAAATGCATACACATTTACATGCCTGCAACAAACAGACAACATGCGAGAACATTGATTATATGTCCACAGATTGCATCAATGAGCAGCTGTAGTGAGATGGACGCGGGCATTGACTGGCTGAATGTGTCAGTTTTTGTTAATTGATAGGAGATGTGTGCACATGGTGTATAAAAAAGAGAGTGAAAGTGAATCAGCAGGTTGGTCATAACACCCCACTAGCTCTGTAATATACACACACACACACACACACACACACACACACACACACACACACACACACACACACACACACACACACACACACACACACACACACACACACACACACACACACACACACACACAAACACATCGAATACAGCTTTCCCTCATGAGTGTGCGGGACAAGCATGATCACTCACAGCCTGGTGGAATTAAAAGCATCATCAGCCCACAATACACAAGAAACACAACAACAAGAAAACAAACACACACACATTTCTACACACTTAATCGTTTGATGAGAGAAGTCCGAACATTTGTAAAACAAACTGTAAAGCTTTTTTTCCATTTTTTTTCTAGTTCTGCCTACACACCCGAAGCAGCTGTGGAGAATGTTAAAGGGGGGAGAAGGAGATGAAGGGAAATGAAGGTCAAGAGTGAGAGGATGTGGGGGGTAGCAGGATGAAAATATTAAGAGAGGGGCTTAGAGAGGAGGGAAGTGCTCATCCCAATTACTCAAGATTTGCAATGCCATTAAATTCTCCCTTTGTTATGAATGTAAAATTAGAGTACTCCTCTTTCTGTTTGATTTCTATTCACCTCTTTCATTTCTTTTGCTTTATTTTTGGTGCTGTCCTCTTTTGTATTCTCACACTCCCTCTCTCTATCTGAGAACTCTCTATTTACAACATTAACATTTCAGCTACAGTTCAACCCTCTATGTTTAAACCTTTCTCTTCCTTTCTATACAGCCATAGAGTGCACAGTATATAGTGTGTGTGTCTGTGTGTGTGTGTGTGTGTGTGTGTGTGTGTGTACAGAAATAGCAACACACTAAAGGGACAACCTGTTCTTACTTATGTATGGATTTCATAATCTCATTCTAATGCATCACTGCAAGGAGATTATGGCATCTGCTGCAGACCTATACCATACATATATACAGCCCACACACAAACAGGAGGGGCTGACAAACAAACACATGGACACTGTAAAACACATCAAAGCACACACAGTCTAACTGAGCATTTTAAATCAATCTTTTTTTTTTTTATATTTCAATCAAGGGGATTGAATTCTCCATGTACGGAAACACCTCATTGCAGTGTGTGTGCATAACAAACCATCTGTAAATACACATTCAAGCTCAAACACCAAGCCACACATACCTCTCTATGCACAAGCTTGCACACACCCCTGCAGCAGTAGTGCAGCATTCACAGTATTTTAAATGGGAGTCTGAGTGAGCTCTGGCATAGTCATGGCGATGTAACCGTAGCTGACTGACATCTGCACACACACACACACTCACAACACACACACTAACACAAACACACGCTCACATACACATACACATTTAATTATTCTGTTGGTTCTTCGTGATTAGGGCGGCCTTCTTCCAAAGGCCAAGCAGAAGTTGATCGACTCGGGGGCCCCAGGAGCCGACAAGCACTTAAGAACAATACTGCAGCAGTAATGTAATCGTTTTTTTTTTAAATATACTTATATATTACCACACAAATGCACATGCTCATATTAACAGATATCCCACTCATCCTAACAGTAGCATCTGTCCCCTTTCTTAAAGACAGTAAACGCAGGGAGTGTGGTTGTGGTTGTTTTCAACAGATGGAGAATTTGACGATTATTACCACATTAATAGGTAAACGTGTTATCAGATCTACTTGTTATCCTTTTGTCAGGTAAATGGTAATCAGGTGCTGATGTGCAGCATGCATTACCACCGAGATGCACCATTACCTTTACATAACGTGTGTGTGTGTATATATATGTGTGTGTGTGTGTGTGTGTGTGTGTGTGTGTGTGTGTGTGTATATATATATATATATATATATATATAATTTTTTATTTTTTTATTTTTTTCATTTATTAAAGTCTCAATCCTGGATGTACTGCTGATTTTTGCACATTTAAATTTTGGCACATTGTGGCATTTACTCCCTTTTGTTCTACCTCAATAATTTTACAGATATATTTTGTAGATTTGTAATCCTACTAAGGAGTGTACTTGTGACTTCATGCTGTTTTGTTTTTGTCCACTAAGTACTGAATAATAATGACATCCTTAGAGATTTAAAGTGAAATGGATCATTAGATTCTTAAAGAAACCATTTTTTTCAAAAACGTCAGAATCCTTGTTGGTCTACTGTTACAGGTTGAGTTGCGTTCTATTAAAAATTATTTTTCTCCCACCTCATTTTGTTAAACAAAGTTTTACCAGGCTATAACTGTGATGTTTTCCATGGACTGCAAAGCCTATTACTTGTCTTCAGTTCAGTCCCCCCTGCCTCTTTATGAAGACATCATTTATGAAGGCATTTAAGTGTGTGTGTGTCAAACACATGAATATTCATTTTACCATAACAATAGCAGTTATGTGTTTATAAAGACACTGGTGCTTTATAGTCCATGAACTC